TATTGTGATACACTGCTGTATTTTAAAAAAATGCTGTTTGAGTAATTGCTGGCTTGAACCTTACAAGGAACAAAAAATATTAAATAGATTTTGGATTGGGGATAGGACACAATTTCTAGCAATTTCTGAAATCGCCATAAACATACCTCTGCTAATATGTTCTATAAATTGATTTAAAGTGGCATTCTCAAAATTGACAATAATGAAATTAAAGATCAATCAACTCTGAAAAGCACTGAAGATGCCATATACCCTGTAATATCAATATTCAGCCAAGATATGATCTTCTCATGAAATTAACAAACACATCATCTCCTCACTATTAAAGTTTGGTTGTTTTTAACAAGTGATAAAATTATGTATGTACCCCTGAGAATTTTTTTAATTGATTTCATCATGATTTATTTTCAGTAAATATTTGAGTAATGTACACACACACACATACACACACACACACACACACACACACACACACACACAGGTCATTAAGTACAAAATTATCTTGCAGAAAGTATAGTGAGTAAGGGAAGCGTCTTGTTAGTTATTAAAGTTACTGATTCTTAAGCAGCTGGAAAGGCTGAAGGCTCATGTTTAAATCTTAGCTCAAGCCATTAATAGTGCTGTGGCTTTGCAGACATTATTGAATGGATCTTAGTCTCAGTTTTCTGTCGACAAAACAGGGCTCACAAATTCTACACACCTAGGGAAAGAGTGTTGAGAATTAAGCAAATATGCAGGCAATGTATTTATACCATCACTCCTTAATACAGAAGGTTGATTCTTGAAAACAACATTTGATAATTACAAAAATGCTTATCATTGCACACACCATTAGATTAAGGGAAAGGGGGGGGAAGGTTTCTTCAACAGGAAAACAAAGTAAGGATATGTTGCTGCCAAGCATGTTATGAGAACCAGGAATAGACTAAAAGCTTTCAAACATTGTTCATTTGATAAATATTGAAGAAAATGACAAGTAAATCAAACTATAAAGACCTGCGCTGTGAGCAGCAATACTTCTCCCAAGAGACAACAAGAATAGAAAACAGAGAAAAAATAAATAAAATTAAGACTCAGATAACATAACTATGGAAAACATACAATAAGGAAGTTATGCTTTCTCTGCTGGATTTTGTGCATGTCAGGCAGGAGTGAGTGTACACTTACCATTTTAAGAAATTTTTAGTTCGGGATGATAAACATTGTTCAAAATATTTTCCTGTCAAAGGAGCCAGGTAATTAAAAAAAATAATAAAAAAAAAGCAAGTGAGTAAATAGGGAAAAAAGTCCCTTGATTTGGAAATCTGTAAACCTTTTTATCTGATCCTTAGAGCTAGGTATGCTGCCAGCCAGCAATGCATCACACATCTCCCAAAGAGGACACATAATCGTTAATGTGGCAAAGAGCCAGGCTCTGTGTCAATATTATACTCTGTATTTTGCTTGAATTTCACTATTTGCATTGCAATATTTTACTACCAGATTACACAGTTCCTTTGTGTGAACTCAGCAGCTAGCACGCTTTTGATAGAGTTGGAAAATCTACATGAATGTGATAGAGTCTGTTCTGTTTAAAATATAATAGGATAATGTTCATGCCTCTTCCACCAGATTTTTCTGCAGCAGAAAGTGGTTGTCATATTATGAAGGCAGCATGGTAAGATTTTATTTTTAAAGATGTAGACTCTAGTTTCAGTGATAGCAGACACCAAACAGAAAATAACTCACATGTTGAAAAAAAAAAAAGGAAACATATATACAAATGTATAAAAGAAATACCTTTTCAATAGATGCCTACATGTGTCCTGCTGTCTAGTAGGACAGGACACATGGCGTGTGATCTCTGAGATCTACCCTCAGTGAAAAGGGGGATACTAATTTATTTTACACATATTTATTAAGATCCTCATATAGGTCAGACAGCGTTATAAGCAATAGGGATATAATACAGAAGAAGTCAGATGCCCTCCAAAAGAACAAAAATATCAACTCATTAAACTTGTATCACAGTACAAACAGACAAAAAATCAAAGTAAACAGAGTGTGTGGATTCAGGGATGATGGTTCACATGTGAGTCACAGCAGGAAGGTTAAGCCAGAGGATGGGGAGAAAGGTATGAGAACTGAGAAATGCAAGGGTTTTGGGGACTCTTAGGCAAATTTCTGAACATGGCTGTCTAGTTTTGTTTCTCTTGCTATGACAAAGAAAAAGCAACTAGGCAGAGGCAACGGATTATTTGAATTACAATTCAGGTTATTGTTCATGATTACAGGGAGGTCCCAGAGGCAGGAAACTGAGACAGTTCGTCACATACCCATAGTTAAGAACAGAAAGAAAAGACTGCATCCATGATGTCTGCTTGATTTTAGATTTATCCTACTGTATATAGTTCAGGACCCCCAACCTAAGAAATGGTTCCAGCCACAATGTTCTAGGTCTTTGCACATGAAAGAACAATCATGACAATCCCATATCAATGTATCTACTGTCCAACCTGATAAAGACAATTACTCAATTTAGATTCTTCATCCTGGTGATTTTAAATGGTGGCAAGTTGACATTTGAAACCACCATTATCCACCCCTAGTCAAACTGCCACACTAACAAACACAGCACTTTTAAACCTTAACTTTCCATCCTTTGTCCCCAAGGCCTCAAGTTAACCTTATAATACAAAACACAACACAATATTCTCAATCTCCAATTTTTTACAAAAAGTCCAAAGTGTCATTTTTTTTTCTTTCTGATTCCTAATGATACTCAGCTATACTCATAGACAGGAGCATAACATAGTTGTCATCAGAGAGACTTCAACAAGCAACTGATGAGAACAGATGCAGAGACCCACAGGCAAATGCTAGGCAGAGATTGGGGAATCCTGCAAAGTGGGGGAGGATTGTAGGAGCCAACGTGGTCAAGAACACCCCCCAAAAAAACCATAGAATCAACTCACCTCGGCTCACAGGACCTCACAGAGACTGAATCTACAATTAGGTAGCCTGCATGGGTCTGACCTGGGCCCTTTACATATGTGTCGTGTCATGGTTGTATAGTTTGATATTCTTGTGGGACTCTTAACACTGGGAATGGGGGCTGTCTCTGACTCTTTTGCCTTCTTTTGGGACCATTTTTCTCCTACTGGGTTGCCTTTTCCAGCTTTAATATGAGGGAAGGTGCCTAGTCTTGAGACAACTTGATATGCCATGTTTGGTTGATATCCCTTGGAGGCCCACCCTTTTCTGAAGGGAAACAATGGAAGAGGAGTGGGCCTGTGGTATTGTGTTCCCCCAAATATTGTGCACCCTAATAAACTTATCTGGGGTCAGAGACAGAAGAGCTACAATATTAAACATAAAGGATAGGCAGTGGTGGCACACGCCTTTAAACCTAGCATTCCAGAGGCAGAAATCCATGTGTTCAAGGATACAGCCAGGCATGGTGACTCATCACGCCTTTAATCCCAGAAAACGAGCCTTTAATCCCAGGGAGTGGTGGTAGAAAGCTGAAAGGTATATAAGGCGTGAGGACCAGAAACTAGAAGCATTTGGCTGGTTAAGCATTCAGGCTTTTGAGCAGCAATTCAGCTGAGACCCATTCTAGATGAGGACTCAGAGGCCTCCAGTCTGAGGAAGCAAGACCAGCTGAGGTTCCGGCGAGGTGAGGTAGCTGTGGCTTGTTCTGGCTCTCTGATCTTCTAGTATTCACCCCAATAACTGGCCTCAGGTTTGATTTTATTAATAAGAACTTTTAAGATTCATGCTACATGGGCCTATGGCAAAATGTAGGTGGGAAGTTGGGGGACTGGGAGGAGAGTAAGAAGAGAAAACTGCAGTCAGATGTAATATATGAGAGAAACTATTTTTTAAAAAAGCCGTGTCTTAACTATGAGCTCCTATAAAAACAAAGTTACAAGGTTAAAAATTGTTATTCCATCAGGCAGTAATCAGGATATAAAATCAATCATATTATCATAAAACCAAAATTCAGTAGTGTAATTCCAAATTCTGTAGCTCAATGTGTAACATGGACTTGGTACCTTCTGGGCTTCAGAACTCAAGGGCAGTCCCTCTTCTCTAATCTAAGATCTGGAGCATGTACGCACAACTTCTCCTGCAGGCATGAGTTAATTCCACTCTCCATCTGTAGCTATCCTTGGCAGACATCCACAGGTCTGATTTTCCTGGGATCTTCTGCAACTGAGACTTCTCCTTCATCAGTGCCCTCTAAAGAATTCTCTGCAAGGACTCCAACCCTGCCATGAGGTGCCAAACTTTAGCCATTACAATGGCCCCCTCATTTTTGCTCCTTAAATAATTCAAAGTCAGTAGAGCATGGATGACAATTACACATGGCCACGTTCTAGTACAAGTTCACTATGTAGTCTGGCACTCTTGGTAACTTCTGTGTACTGATCCTGAAGAAACATGTTCCTATTGTCCCAGTGAAGTACAAATGATTTCACTTCATTGGTGCTGATTTCTTTGACAGTTACAGCTGCTTCTTCAGCTCTAGCATAATCAGCACACAATTTCCAAACAACTATCAAATGAATATCCCTTGGACCAATTCTTGATAAAGTCCTTAATCCCCTCTGAAATCTCATGAGCTAGTCCTCCACAGTGAATGTTTCCCTCAGCATTAGTCTTTTCTACACTCCCACAAGAATGACCCATGAAACTCAGAGTACTAAACAGGTATTTCAGTCTAAAGTTCCAATCACGTTCACAGTCTTTCAACAAAATAGCCCAAAAGCATAAAAAGTAACATGGTCAGGCACATCACAGCAACAACCCCACTTCTCTGGTACCAATTTCCATTCTAGTTTCATTTCCATTACAGTTTTAAAAATTACTCTGATCCAAAACAACCAAGGAGAGGAAAGGGTTCATTTGGTTTGGCCTTCCAGGTTCTCATTTTAGGGAAGGAATAGAATTGGAAGCTTAAGGTAGGTGGTCTCACCACATTCAAAGTCAAGAAGAGAGAAGAGTCAATGCATTCATGATGTCTGCTTGCTTTTATATTTCTTCAATCCTATATATTGAAAGATCATTTGCCTAGGGAATAGTTATACACATGAAAGGGTTGGACTTCTCACATGAATTAACAAACAAGAAAATCACCCACAGACATGTCTACAAATCAACCCGATAAAGACTATCACTTGACACTCTCTTCTCAGATGATTCTAAGTTATGGCAAGTTGAGTAACAATCATGATGATCTTGCTTGGTATGACAGAAACCTAATAGGTAAAGGATAGAATACACAAAGAGAAGAGAAGATGAAGAGAGAACAGTTAATTTCTGCTCCAAAAATCCTTGAAAAGGAAGGTGTCTAGACCACTGTTGCATAAAGATGCAATATGATAGATTCGTCAAAAATTTTAGTCATATTTTGAAGACAGAGTCTACTGCATATAATGATAGGTGAGAAGAATTGATTTAATATGTTTGTCTCTATTTTCCTCTTTCCATATATATCTTCTAAATTAGCATAGGCGGTAGTTTGGTTTTATCTGAGCAGTTAGGCAAGAATTCTAGGAAATAGCATGACATTGAGTTTGATTGTTAAGAATGACAAAAAAACCCAAAAAACAAATAACAAACAAACAAACAAACAAAAACTCTGTGAGAAAGGGAGCATTATAGATAAAGAAAAGCAATATGCAATGTGGATGCAGAAAATTTAACAAGGCACTCTTAGATGAAGGCTATCAATGCTGCTAAGAATGGGAGAACTGGTTTTCTATAGGGATGGATTCTCTTTGGCAGGTTATCTAATTCCATGTGATTAGCTGTAAACACACAGATATACAAGCAACACAAAGGACTGAGTACTCTGTGTGTGTGTGTGTGTGTGTGTGTGTGTGTGTGTGTGTGTGTGTGTAACAATAATAATTATAGGAGAAGTCATGAATTTGAGAATCTGAGAAGGCATGGTATGGAAACTCAGTGGGAGTTGGAGGTGGAGAGAGAGAGGGATGGAAATGATGTTAACATAGGGCTCATGGATAGAATTCTCAAAAAAGAGAGAGAGAATATTTATTAAAATGAAACAAAGTTATGTAGTAAATGGCATCATATTTGCTTTCCACACACAGATATGGAATTTTACAACAAATCTAAACCTGACACTGTTAACCTATAATGAACATAGAATAATACAAGCCAAAAAAGATTAAAATAGCACTTGATTCAGTCTATATTAATGGTTGTAGAAGATAACTCAGAAGCATTCAGAGTGGTATTAGTCATCTATGCAGAGCTAATCAAATACTAGTTAACTAGACTTTAAATGGACTTACAAACATAATTTGCTGTGGTTTGGAAAAATATCTGGGGGCAAAAAAGTTCCGCACAAGTATAAATGTACTTATCATAAGAATTTTGGAAATTATCAGAACCTGTTCTGTCAGAAGATTGTGCTATAAGCCCCATGGCACTAAATATTTCTTAGCAGTTATCAGTAATGGATGGGTTTAAGTTGTGCTGAAATTCTGCATGAGTAGCATCCCTTGTACTGCTGCAGTATTTCTGACTGATGGCTGTCCTAAGCCAGGCTATGAACTCACAGCTTCAGGTAATGGCCAGATCTGAGTCAGAGTCCATGTCTTGAGATCTGAAAAGTGTCAACAAAACAAAGTAAAATAAGACAACTGTTAATTGACAGACAATGACTTAAAAGTTTTTCTATCCTTTACCTGAATCTAATGCTCAGTTTTATTACAGTGTGAACAGGGAAAACGATAAAAAAAAATAAATTAAAAAATTCATGTTCTTTTAGTCTATGGGATTTTCTTCTATATCATACTCTCCCTCTGTCTTTTGCTGTGGGCTCCCAACTGTATTTTACCAATTGCGCTAGTACCTAGTCTCATGAGAAACTTAATCATTAAACAAGAAGGAAACCCAGGCCTACCCCTGTTTCCTTGAAGCTTTCCTTTGCCTTCAGGTTGTCTTGCTAGTATACCCAGCTAGTCAGAGTGCACACACCCTGCTGTGTGTCTAGAATCATTTGAGAACAAATAACAATCAGCTCATTTGAAATATAAATTAATAGCCCCCTATACATACACAATTATAATGTCCACCTTGTATTCATTATTTTTAGCTGGATTTGAATAAGAAAACCTATGCATAACAGTAAGAGTTAGGAACTTCATTGTTAATTGGACACATTTAGGGCAATAGTGGCTTCTGGGAGAAGACAAATAAGAAAATATTTTGACATTAGAAGTGTATTAAGAATAATCTGGAAAATAAGAGAAAAGGGTATGACTCAAAGAAAAGCTAAATCTGAGGCCGGGCGGTGGTGGCGCACGCCTTTAATCCCAGCACTCGGGAGGCAGAGGCAGGCGGATCTCTGTGAGTTCGAGGCCAGCCTGGGCTACCAAGTGAGTTCCAGGAAAGGCGCAAAGCTACACAGAGAAACCCTGTCTCGGAAAACCAAAAAAAAAAAAAAAAAAAAAAAGAAAAGCTAAATCTGAAAAGAAAGAGAAATTGCAGTCATCTGTTTCTTGAAGACTTTCCAGGTAGTGGTGAGGATGTGAATAATCTCACGAGAAGCTTTCAGTAATTTATATGGAGAATCTGTGGTGTCAGCTCTCCATGTATTATGCTAGTACTATTCAAATGTAGAAAACTACTCCCCCAAATTTCATATTTTCATGGAGGAAGACAAAAATAAAAACTAGTCAACCATACTACATTTACAGGAATATTTGTTTTCTAACAGAAGTTGGAGGATGTTTCAAAAGATAATCATTCAAAATTCTGTATTTTAATATTTCCATAGATTTAGGCAATTCAATGTGTGAGAATAAAATAACAACAAAGTATATATCATGGAACTATGCCATGCTGCATAGTGAGGGTTTCTTAGGAAAGAGGATATTTACTTCTGGCTTTTTCCTTAGCTTAGACACCAGCAAAACCACAGATCTCCTCACATTTCAGAATCCTTAACAACTAACTTGCATTTTCATATCCTGCAAGAACAATAGTTTATAAAGTAATAGATAACCAACTTTGATAAAATCTGATTCTTGCTGGGAGACTATCAATAAAGAGAAAATGAAAGGCACTAGGAAAAGATGTATGACTCACATTTGAGAAAAGTAGCTGATGTTAGTTTCAATTTTCTTCAATTAGGATGAATGTTAGTGAGGATGTTAACCTTGTCATTCTGTCTTAAGTCCAGCATGGGTAATTACATTGCACTTACTTAAATTCTCTTTAGGTCCAAAGACCTCCTTCATTCTCACCTCATCATTGTTAGTGATGTTGCTGATCATAGATAAATAGAAGCCACATTTAACCCCTAGGATGGTAGCATCTCTTATGGCACAAACTTGATCTTTCTGCATTCTATCAGTATAAATTCACTTTTTAGGGTAAAGGTTTTTGAACATGTAATGCAATAAAGGAAAAGAAACCACATATAATTGCTACTGAAGATAAAACAAAACAAAACAAAAAGAGAATCCAATAGAATGAATTGTCTCTGACAGGGTCTCTGCGGTAATGGGAGATTTTTTTTTAGCTTGCCCTGCTTGCAAATGTAAGATCATTATCATTAGATCTTTAAAATACCAACAAGCAAAATATGAAGAGATTCAAAGTCACCTTTAAAAATCACCCCAAAAGTTCAGCCTCAATTATCTACAATCAATGTCATTCTCCTTGACTAGAAATTGGTAGCAGAGAATAAATTCTAAGAAGAGGAAAATTTAAAAGTACAATTGATACTGACAGATTATCAATGAAAGAATGTTTCTAAGCCGTCTTCGCTCAGGCATCAAGCTTCTGTCTTTCTATGCTCTACTTAACTTGTGCTTTGGCCACATTTTTGTGAGGCTATTAAACACTATTAACAAATAACCTTTACTACTAATACTTGAAATATTTCATGTAGATTTTATCTATAGATAAGTAATGAGCTCCATGAACTGTAAGACGGAAAAAATACAAACATTTAAAATTTACCAGGAAATCTTTTTCTCTCTGCAATAATTATGAATATATTTATGAATCAATAAACCTGTTGAGGGCTTATAAATCATAAAATTAGCATAAATTTTAATGGCAATAAATGTATAATAGTTATGTTAAAAACAGTCAAAGAAGATAGATTTTGATTGTAAGACATACAGTTAAAAATAGACAAGAAAATAAAGCATAAAGACATTAATTGTAATTGGACCAAGGTCAGGTGCAGGTGACATAAAAGGAAAAAAATATATGAATATAAAAAAGATGGCATTTATTATAGCACAAATTAGAGTTTCATCGTTAACATAATTACATTTTTATCAATTAAATTTTCAAAAATAACAGGACAATACTCAGTGAAGTATAATATTGTTGAGAATATAAATTCAATACTCCATTTGGAAGGCAATTTCTTCATATTTCCAAGAATTTTAAAAATTATAATTTTTCCAGGAATCCTAAACCTGCGAGTTCACTATAGGAAAACAATAGTTTGAATAGATAAAGCATTATAGACAATGATGCTTATGTAGCAAAATAGCCTTTTGATCAATCAGGACAACAGACTCAGTGTTCATCAACAGCCTCCAATATACTTATTTGGTTGAAGTAATAGGAAAAGTGATTTCTGTTACATACCTCATATGTTAAGCGATACACAGAAGGAGAAGAAATGTAAAGCGAGTTAGCAGCAATGGGAGTGCCAAGATGAGGCAGGCTACAGCACTGAGCATTCACAGCAGTTCTCAATCAAACACTGATCTCTAAGCAAAGCTTGAGGAAACTAGAAGAAGCCTTTAATATTCATGGAAAGAGGACTGTCGGGTATAGGGAAGGCCACCACAAAGGTACTGCCATATGAAATCACTTACAATGGTTAAGAAATATCACACAGGCGGGAATCACTGGCAGAGTGAAGAACTGGGAAAGGAGTTTCAAGTCAAAAAAAAAAAAAAAAAAAAAGGAGGGGGGAGACAAGTACTTGATCCCAGGAGCTTCTGCAATGATCTATGCTTGTACATAGAACATCAGTAGTCATGGGCCTGCGGTTTGCATTGTGAGCAGAATAGCATGATGTGACATACTTTAGCAGTATTGATTTAACAGTTGTGTTGAGAATAAACTCTTTGACAGATGAATAGTATTAGAGAAAACTGTTGAAGAAGCTGTTGGTCATACAGACAAGCAATGATGGTGGCTTAGACCAAATAGAAAAAGAAATTAAAAGTGATTAACATTAGGGTGTTTTGAAGAAATTACCAACAAAATTTCCTAACAATCTGAAACTGGGGAGGCATCAAAGAAGAAAAGAATCATAGGTTACTTGCAGGACTTTGTGCCTAAGCAATTAGTTGTGAGGGCTGAGTTCAGATCCATGGAGATTAAAAATGCTGAAGAGTGTTGAAGGTGGCAGACACCAAGAAGTCTGTTTAAAGTATGTGACTTGACATGTTAAGTACACAGAGAGGATGGATGTATATAATCCTTTTACTTTGAAAAGCCTAGACAGGAGACGCAAAGGTGAGCATCAGCAGATTACAGTGTTAGAGAAGTGACTCTAGAACCAGAACCAGAATGAATACAGACAGAAGCAACTGAAGATGGTTCTCTGGAGTCTCTCTGAACTATGAGTTTGGGTAGCAAATGAGGCAGTCTAGAGGAGCTGCTAAGGCAGGAAAAGGCAGGGTGGTACTCATGAAATTAGAGTGAAGACACTACAGGAGAAAAGAGGAACTGACTAGATTTATTAAGTGATTTTAACATTTAGGATGAAGGCTAGTCATTGGTCCTAGTGCTGAGTCATATGGAAGTCATTGTTAACTTATATAAAGGCCATATTTGTCAAGTGGAGCAAGTAAACATTCATCTGACGTGTGTTTAGGATAAAAAAAAAAAGAGTTGGGCATATAGCTCAGATGATAGAGTGCTGAACAAGACCTTGGAATTATATACAGAGAATTCTTGGGAGACTAGCTAACTCTTCCCCCTGTTCTATAGATAATAAACATACTTGAGGTTCTGAACTATAAATCTGTGGTAGCTGTTAGAGAAGCCCATCAGATCCTACTTCACTGTACATGTTTCTGAGTATCTTTCCGTTCTTCATTCTCTAGCTGCTCACAGACAGGGTTGTGGAATCAGCGCCACAAGAGATGGGTCTTGGCACTCTTATGCCATCATTGAGATTTTTACTTTCTTTACGGTCCATAGCCGGGTTCATAAGTTGCTCCAGAAAATTCTCCACATGTATAAAGTGATATTTGTATATTTAGTTTTTTTGAAAGATGTATGGACACCATAAAACATAGATGAAAAATAAAATAGAGCATATGTTCACACATGCACGCGCACACACTCACACACATACACACACACACACACACACACACACGCACGCACGCACGCACTCGCACACACACACACACACACACACACACACAAGAAATACAATGATCTAAAAGCAAATCCAAGCCATAGATCTCATGACTTTTCAGTGCTAGGTGTTTTTTGTGTCATGTCTTGGTAGACAGTGTAAGTAAATCATCTTAATCAATAGTCTCAGCTGCTCCAAGAAGAGGGTGGCTCTAGCTTCTTTCTTCCTGGATGGGTAAATAAAACTTAGGTAGT